TTTGCACAGGGCAGAGGCAGGCTGTCCACTGTGGGCTGGGGCTCTGTGCCTGCTGCCTTTGCCCTGGGAGCCACACAATGCCGTATTGTGCCTTCCACCACTGGGCAGAAGGGGATGCGTGGCACAGCTAACGCACAGCTTCTGGGGCAAAGGCAACAGGGCGCAGAGCCCCAGCCCGCAGCAGGCAGCCTACCTCCACCTCACGCACAAATCCAGGGGGCACATGCCCCCCTATGCCTCCCCCAGGAGTGCATTCAGCTGCAGGGAGCTACATCCCTCTGTGCCCCTGGACGAGCCGCCCATGGCTCCATCTCACAACCAGCTCCAGCCCCAGCCTCAGGGCTCCATTCACCCCAGCCCCTGCCCCACTCCTTCCCTCACCATGGGGGCCTTGAAAGAATTAAGTGGAATGCAATCTGGAAGGAAAGAACTAAGAACAGAAATTTGACAGAATAGATTATTTGATCTTAATTAACCTGTTTTAAAGGAGTTTATTCTCTGTCTCTCTACGGAAAAGAATCTTCCTGTCATCTGCTGTTATAACACTGCATAGTAAAGATAGGAGAATTGAAGCTTTGCCAGTTTCCATTACAAAATCCTTGTTTTCAGATCATTTTACATGATTTCAAACTGTTTTGATGGTTCTTAGCCTTGATGTCTTTTGCCAGCTTAAAATACAAAGAACACTTGTTTACAAATAGAAACATACTTTCATACTTTGATTTTAACCTCAAATGTAGTTAACTCTTTGAACTGAATAACTGCCTTACTACTGATGTTTGTAAAAACATTTATTGCTTTCTGACCAAAAAGTTAAGTATTCAAGTCAAAGTTCACCTTCATGTTCCAGATAACACTGCAGCCTCCAGACAAACTAACTTTCAAGGAGCACAGTTAAAACCACCTTCCAATTACATAAAGCAAGGTGGAGGAAGGAATAGATATTAATGCCGATGTATTATTTTCCTTCTTATTCCCCATAAAATACATTCCATCCTGCTATTGAAGCAAATTCTTCAGACTTGACAAAATAAGATAATGGGTGCATTATGGACAAATTTTGAGGAATTCAGCATTACATTACTACACGCCATTTCCTCCAAGCATACATAGTTAAGACCTTCAAACTCTGCTCACAAATACAATATAAAAACATTGTTAATTCAACTTTTATATAGATGATACAAATATCAGAGATGCTATCTTTTGCTTTGCTAGGAATTAATTCAGGACCAATAAATTATCTGATCACGATTTAAACTAATGAGAATGTGTACTGTCTTGTATTCCCCAAGGAGGGCTACTCTGCTAAAGGAACATCTGTGCAAGCAAATAAACGCAATGCACATCCATAAACTAGATTAAGCTGTTTGAAATATCACAAGCTTGCATAGAAAACATTTTGTCCTGCCTTTGCTAGTGATGATGACTCTTTCCTCCTATTATTAATTATCATATTACTATAATCAGTTTTCATTACTGCCTTACAACATGTGTTTACACTGAACTAGAGACAAAGTAACATTCCCTGTCCTTCAGGTTCTCATGAGCATGTTTCATAGAAAGGAACTTTTAAAGTAAATAAATGCACAGAACTTTCTGAAGAAATCTGGATTTAAAAAATATGAAAAATGTTAACCCCAGAAAACATACCACTCCCCCAAGCTACTTCAAATAAATAACGCACTAGATAATTCAGAATCTGTTTGGTTATTATACATACGTGCCAGCAGACAAGTATTTTTTCAAGTTGTTTGGGAGAGCTCTCCTAAGATACTATTTTTGAGAGTATCTGAAATGCTACTTTCTAGTTGTCCACTAAGGTGTTCAGCTTAATGTTTATATGCTTAACTATGCAGGAAATAATATCCCTGCTGCATATGCCTTTTGAAGATATGCATTCTTTAACAACAGATAGTATTTTTCAGAACAAAAATATATACCAAAGAATGATACATACTCACCTTCCATAATTTGAGAGTTACAAATGTATTCCTCACAGCAGAATTTTTTTTTAACCAAAAGCCAAAACAAAGGATTAAAACAAACATGAGATTACACAAATGAAACATCATAAAAGATTTGCTCCCATGGAAAAAGCTGCAATAACCAAGACTTAAAAAAGTAAGTCATAAGCAATTCCCCTAGTATAGCCAGCAAAGGACTATACTCTTTCTTTTGCTTTCTCATGAAAAAGCACCTTCCCCGCTAGTCTGAAAACTGTAACTCAGGTTAAAATAGCAGTGAAGTTGCGGTAATATGAATTTTAACTGAAGTTTGCAGCTTGAGTTCTAGCCCAAGTTCTCCTATAGGTTTCCGCTTGAACTGCTAACATTATAAAAAGGTCAAAATTACCTTCTCTCCTTTGAAGTGTTAATCTGAGACAAGAACATACTCCTGCAGATACACCCTCAGGAGTCAGTCAAATTAGCTTTATATCACTCCTTAAAATAGTTATTCCATTAAGCTTTCAACAAGAGTATAAATAAGAACAATAATCTGTTAAAAATTGTGTCCTGCCTAAATTAGTGCACAAAAACTAAATGTAATGGTAGGTAATTTGCGTATGACACACCATGTTCACCTGGAAGTTTGTAAGAGTGGAAATAAGTAGTTAAATGGAAACACTTGGCCATCTATTGGCACCTTCATGTTGTCTGTAACACTATCAATGTGCACAAATGCTCTAAAGATTCCACTTCTATCTATAACAGAAACTCAAAAGCAAGACACAGTCCAAGTACAACCTTGTACACTAAACACAAAATCTAAATAGTGACCTCACATACTTTTATGTCAACAAATCAGCACATCTGGCTTGGCACATACTCTTTGAATTTGGGAATTTACTCAGGGATTAGCATGAGACAATTCAGTGACAAATTGATAAAAAGGGAATTTCTAAATTATTATTTTCTACAAATCAGTTCAACTCCATCAACTCTGCATGTAAAAGTCAAAGTCAAGTTGTACCCAAAATTTATATGCTATTTTGGTTTTTGCCATTTCAATTACTTTTATAAAAATAAAGATTTAAAGCTCCTGCTAAAACCATTATGGTATAGCTGTCACATGGGATTGAATTGATATGTCAGAACACAATTTAGATACCAATGCAGTCTATTCACCCATGCAGGATTACCCTTAGATCCACCAAGAGTCCTAAGGGCTCATATGATGCACCTACAGGATCCACGTATATTATGTCTTATCCTCAGGACAGGCATAATATCTTATTTTTGTGCAAGTCAAGCATACTGCAGATACCTCATTGATGGCAGTTATACATGGCTCTACCATCCACAAAAATGAGAATAAAACAAAAAAAACCTAGTGCATATTGAAGGAAACAGAGTAAAAAGTGAAAGCTGTGACAAGTTGTTTTTTAGCCAAAGGTAGATACAAACTAAATTCCGCAAAAGAGGTTTTATTGCAGCACTGATCTCTCTATAAAGCTGTCATCAAATAGAGGAGCATTCATCATATCATTTGCAAAGTATTGGTGAAGAGGATTGAATGGGTGAATTGTCTTCCAAGCCTTGTAAGTGAATACACACAAAGCAGACACTCCCCTTTGCAAAAATAAGCGAATTCATAAAATAAAAGGGAGAGGAAGAAGTCAGAGGGCCCCCACTTCAGGAATCCCAAGTATCTGCTGGGGAATGTAGGTCTACAAGTTGACACATTCCCCCATCACCAAAGTGTCAATATGTGGAGGGTCCAAGCCTTTGCCACCACTAACCCTGGACGGCAGACAATGTAGCATGGACCTCCCACCACCAAACGCGCGCCTGGCCTGAGGTACTACTTGTATTCCCAGGACCAGAGCACACAAATTCACATGAACTGTAAGCCTAGGGCCCACCCTCAGACACGGTGCTATAAATCTGTTATAAGTGTTCGGTCAGCTAGGCCCTGCACATGGAAGTATGAAGAGCCAGGGCCCGCTCAGAGGACTTGACAAGACTAAGGAACTAGCAAACTAAGGCCTTGTTTCCCCTGATTTCTTTTCCACTCAGAACTCCTGCTTCCTTCCCTCGCCATCCCTCACTCTGTTCTTCACTAATGACAGTGGCTTGCAATGCTTATTTAACTTTCATAGTGCCAGGGCCCCTTTGTGCTCAGTGCTATACAAACACCAGCGTCAGCACTTGGCCGGAAAAGTTGACAATCTCTTGTACCCGAGGCATGACAGCAGCCAGCGGTTTAACACCTGCACCGGGTAGACTTGCTCCAAGCAGGACAAAGCAACAAAGCAGCAGGAACTAGTGTGGGGCTGGACTGGCAGCCCCCAGGGGAACAGGCCTAGCCCCACAATGTGAACAGGACGAGCCTCCCACAGCCCCCTACAAAAGTAGCGCCTACCTTCTCCCAGCAATCGGGGATGTTTGGGGGCACGCTGTTTCCTCGGGGAGGGGCTGTGCCCTTCGCCTTTGGGAGCAGCGTGCGGGACACACCAGCCTGGAAGGAAGGTGCCAGTGACCCTGCAACAGGTCACCGAGTACCACAGCCCAGCAGCAGCCAAGGCTGCAGCTCCTGCACTCCGTCCTCCGTGCCTAGGGCGCAATGGCCATGACAGCGGTGCCTGGCTCTGCACATGCCTGCCCCAGCCAGCAAGCACCTGCCCTGCCGTCCTGGGCACTCCCAGCCAAGTGTCGCCCCC